ATAATCAAAATATAAATAAAAATTATTTTAATAAAAAGTGTACTTTTGAAGTTACAAAATTAACCGAAACAAATAAAATTATGTGAGATGGATTAAAATTTTACTTTAATTATTTTTAAAATAAGCAATTTTAAAAAAAATTAGTAAATTTATGAAAACCAGTGAAGTGAAAAGAAGCGCGTCGCTCATACGCCACGACAAACCAGCAGCTTCCACATAATAGCTTAACGCGAGCAGCAAAGTATAGAAATTGTGCGAGTGGGTATACCAACCACCTACAACAAACTATCTACACCAACTATAGGCCACAACCAACGCGCGTAATGACAGTTCAAAGAGTGATTGCGAATTATTGAAGTGACTAAATAAGCACAACAGAGCAACTAATTAAATGAAGCTAATTTGTGCAAGTGCGGGTAGTGTCTATAAAGCGTAATTAAATAAAACGGTTGCATAAAAAATCAAAGACAACACCTTGAATACACAAACAGCGAAACCAAACAGCTCGAGGGTCTAGCGATAGCATGACTGAGAACAAGGATAAACACGCCGCCAGCAGTGGCGGCAGCACAGAAATCGCCAGCAGTCACAACAATAACGTGCAAGGCCAAAGCACGAACGATGGCGGCGGCGGCATCACCAAGCCGAAGGATAAGAAATATGACAACGAAACGACAGTCGCGCTGAGGGATACGCAACTAGAGCGCGAAAAGGATAAAGAGCCGCATGACAGGTGAGTGCGAAAATGTCGGCAAATGAGAGGGTATGCTATAAAAAGTGACTCTATATACAGCTTGATACATACAAACATAACTGTGCGTGATACATAAATATTTATACAGTAATGTGTGCATATACGGTTGTGTATATAAATATGTGATTATATTTACAAAGTGCTAATGCTCTGCATGTATACGAAGGAAACATTGCTGGCAATTCAAGTTGGGTGAAATTGTGTTGTACAAACATGTACATGTACATATACAGATAAATATGTGTAAATATTTCTTTTTTTTTCTATATATGTAAGCGGCAGGAAAAGATAAATGACTGTCTTATCTAAGCCAAGTGATCTTTTTTAATCAGCTTAGCTGCGTGAGTGGATTTTTTTTTTACCAGCCACAGTCGTTTATAACTACATACTTATATATATGTATATACAAACAGTTAAAATAAGATATACTAGTCAGTCAAAAGCATATATGTATGACAGCTGCATACAATCCATTTTTTCATTTATCTTCACAATACCTTCGCGCTGTGTCCTTTTAGCCGCACTGACTGGCAAAACATATAAGAAAATTCTTTATAGGCGTGCAACGTCTAAGTGGATTAACCTTGGCTGACATTAAGTACCATCATTGAAAGTAAATGCAAGTGTAAGGGCACATAGTCGCGTTCAAGAAGGAAAATATTTTCAAAAATAATAAATTTAATGGAGATCTGTATATTTGTTTGTATATATGCATGCGGCTGTTTGAAAGCATTAAACTTGTACTTAATATAAAATTTGGTGGCTTAAGGACTGCTTGACTGTTGAGCTTGCCATGAATATCGGCGTACTTTTGCTGTAAAATATAAAATAAGAAATAGTTTTGCGTTTTAAGCAAGTTACGAATTTCAGTAATAAGTTTTTGATATTAAAATTTTAAGAAAAAAACAATGAAAAGAAATTAAAAAAATTAAATACTTTAACTTTTAAATAATTGTATATTATATTTTGTTTTAATTAAAAAAAAAGTTAAATAGTCTTTGTTTAATTTTTATTTAATATTTTTCAGAAAATTTTCAAATAAGAAAAAATCAAATAATTTAACTTTTAAAATATTAAAAAAAATGTTTAACAATTTTTTAACAATTCTTTCTTAACAATTTTTTTACCAACTTTTTTTATTTGAGTAAAAAAATACATGAAATAACCATTTTTTAATCAGACCCTTAAAAAAAATGTAAAAATACCGTACACAATCTAGCAAAATATTATAAAAGTTGAGATATTGAAAAAAATATAATATATGTACATTAAATATTAAACCCACAAAACTTGTAAAATGGTAAAAATTTAGTAGACAATTTTCAGAAATAAACTTAAATTATTTTCTACTTCAAAAAAAAACATTATCTAAATATTTTTTAACAGACCCTTAGAAAATTGTAAAAATACAGTAATCAATCTAGAAAAATATTAAAAAAAAGTTGAAATGTTAAAAAAAAAACATACAAAAGAAATTTTAATTAATATTTCTAAGTAGGTTTAAAATTGCAGACTTTAATTTATTTATATTCGTTAGCAGAATCATCTATTTCGTGATGTAAAGTTAGACCAACATTATTTCATCTTCTAAAAACAAAAAAGCATAAAATGTTGCCTACATTTAGGCTGTTTTAGCGAAGTCACATACCTAAAGTGCATAAAATACACTAAAAACTCGATATTATTGAGAGAATATACATTTTGGCAAAAGTTTACCCGGAAATTGTTATTTAAATTGCTATACCCGGATTCCGGATTCTGGAATTTCCTACCCGCAAATTGTAATTTAATATACTTTAATTTACGGTTACTTTGTTGTCACAATCTACATGAAATATTATTAGTGTTTACAAAAAGTTGAAAAAAGAAACTGAAATTATGAAAAAATTAGAAAAGTAGTTAAATAACTGTTCATCACTTGCAATTAATAATAAAATAAATATTATATTAAAAGAAAATGATTACAATTTTTCCATATTTTCAATTAATGTTTTTTGAAATTTTTTTAATTTTTCTTTAATATTTTGTTTTTACATATAACTTTTTTTTTTGTATTCTATAAAGTACCAAACTATATATACACACACATACTGTTGGCTCTCAAAACAGCAATTAAATAAATGCATTCCAGCGTTGCCTACATTCAGGCTCATTTTATCGCTTTAGCAAAGTCACGTACCTAAATTGGCAAGCTAATTAAGTAATCTGTTCAGAAAGCTGGAACACGCATTCCTCCTAATTTTGCATTAGCTAGCACTAAATTTACTTATTTATGGCTTGGCTAATGGACAATTGAATTAACTTGAAAAAATATAATAATGAAATAATAGTGTGTACAGTTTAATTGATTTAATTGACGATTTCTGTTGCTATTTATTAATGAAATTATTTAATTAATACTCAAAAAAAGTGCGCGTATTTGCTTGGCATTGTAGTAAAATAAAATAATTGGTTGTAGAGTAAAAAAGCAATTATGAAGTTATTGCGGTGCAGCAGCAAATAGAATATGTCACAAAAAATATAAAAATAAAATATAAAATATGTACTATATGTAAGTAAGCACGCCGTAATTGAAATGGCGAAACACAGAAATACTATATGTATTTGCCGCCTTCAGAATGTATTTGAAAAAAAATTGTAAACAATTATTAAAAACAATATTTCAATTGAATGTGTAAATTTTGTTGTTTCAATTTCCTTTTAGTGTGTTGTTTTTTTTTTTTTTTTTTTTTTTTTTTTTTTTTTTTTTTTTTTGTGAACAATTTTAGAAGAACTTTTATATTAAAATTTTAGTTATATACATGCAAATAACTATACATTTCATCATACTATGCGTATCACTCATTTCTAAATGTATACATAGTATAATAACATATTTCAGTATATACTTCTGCTAATTATTCTCTGGGCATTAACTATACTGTAATGAGCGCAAATTAATAGCTTTTGGTGTCATAAAGACAAACACTTGTATGTTGAGAAATGAACACGCCCGCGAAATGGGTGGCTAAATTTAGTAATTAGAGAGTTATTATGAGATTATATATGAAATTTGTATAGAGAAAGCGGTTTTGACTTTACGAATTGTTTATATATTTATATATATACATATATAGTGTAATTCTTTTCGAGTTTCTCTACTTCTGTAAAGAAAAAAACAACAGAAACTCAAAATGTTTATAATGGGAAATGTTTATTATCATTCAAACGAACATTTTTTTTTTTTTTTTTTTTTTTTTTTTTTTTTTTTTTTTTTTTTTTTTGTGGAGGATTATTTCTCTCAAATAGTGGCCGCGGAGAGAAAGATCTATCCATTAAGTCCAATTTTTGATGACTCGTTCGAGCATTTCGAATGGCAACTAGCGATTGACATGCGCGATGCTGTGCTCCAAGGCTTTAGACGAAGCAGGATTGTCCGCATTGACTTTGGATTTTACATATTCTCCTATGAAAAAGTCTAACGCTGTGATATCAGCCGACCATAAAGCTGAAATTATCTGCGCCGTCTTCTTGAAAACAAATGTCGCTGAGATCTCTAGCTTCAATTTCAGGCATCAAATAGCTGGTTTGCTCATACTTTAACTTTTCCAGTAGGTGACAACTTTATTCTAAAATAATATATCATATTTTGCACAATTTTACTTTGTGCGCTAAGTGGTGACTCTATCCATGATTTTCCTACACTATGGACTTAACATACTTGACACGATTTTATGAAATTTTCAGCATTCGCAATTTTCAGCTTTCGAATTTTGTTTTCGAAAAGCGGCAACTCTATTCCAAGCTTTTTCGAAATTACTGGCCTATCTTTTATAGAGAAATTTTTATTAAAGATCGTTTTTTTTCTATTTCACTTTCATGAAAAGTGGCAGCACTGCTACAAAATATTTTAAATCTGAGAGAGACCTCACACGACCTAAATTAAAATGTTTCACATTTATTTTTCACAATTTAAAATTTTCTTTTTTTTTTTAGTAAGGTGGCAACACTGTCACAATTTTTTTTTTAAATCTGAACTAGACATCAAATACTAACCAACTGACTTAGATGTATGCGTTTCACATTTATTTTACGCAGTTCAACATTTTTCAATGATGGTAACACTGGTACGAAATATTTTTAAAATACTCGAAATCTATCCGTTAGTGCATTTCAAACTTGTTATTATACTTATTTTACGCCGCTTAGCTTTTTCAATTGGTGGCTACGCTGTGCGGAAACGCTTCTGAAATACATTCGCAATGCCTTCCCGGCTCCTTACATTTACAGCACATTTGGGATATTTTTATAACCTACTATTTTATCTAAAGCTGTCATCCGTATTCTAAAATATGTTTAACTGTTCGAAAAATATGACTAACTTTGATTACGACTTCCCAGAAAACTTTAAATTTATATATTTATTTTCTTTCTAAGGAATTGCACAGAAACGACGCCAGCATGTACATATAAAGTGCCAGCTTTCGTGTACATATAAAGTTGAGATGGCTTTCTCTAAAAAAAAAGTAGTTATTCGAAATTTAGACCATAATTTGACAGAGATATAGCAGAACTTTCTGCTAGCGTATACAAATCTTGGTGATTGAAATTAATTTAAAAAAAACATACATAAATTTTCCTCATAAATTCTCCTAAAAGCTCGCTATACCCTTTAAATAGTTTTGAAAGCCTTTATGTACAGGCGACTTTACATTGCCATCTTATCCCTGTTTCAAACATACATATATTTACGTCTCATATAGATAATATCCGAGGCTGTTGTTGCGTTGTCATTGGGGTGGTTTTTTTACGTGGCGGGTCCCAAACCCAGCGCATAACCCTATGCAGGGAATGTTTCGCCTTCTCACTTTAGCTCACCTTCAAACGGATGTTCTTAGGCTTCCCAGAGGATACTTGGTCAAGGACCGGAAGTCGTGAGCTGCTTGAGTCATATGTAAAATAATCGTTTCTGGCCACTCCCAAGTGAATGGCGATCAGAA